AGTGTAGAACCTTTGGGCAGACTACTTAAATTAGACAATGACTAAAGTTGTATGAGTGACTAGTTGTACACTCTTTCTATGGTTGCCCTCTGTGGTTGTAAATCAATCATTAGCCAAATATACTATCAATAAAATCCTGGGTCACAAGTACTCACCTTAATATTTAAAAAAAAAAATTTAATTCATGTGATTGGACAACTTGATTCTAAGTTACAATTTTCAAATCTAAAAGGTTTGTGTAATGAAAACTGTTCATTATGCTACTTTAAACTATATAAAAAAAACAAAAAAAAATTTAAGAGGATAAAACCCTGCTGTAAATTAGTAAACCCGCTACGTAGTTTATGTTTTTTATTATACAAAAGCGGATTTCACCCTCATGTGTGATCTGCATAGTGGGTTTTACTAATTGGCATGCTTAGAAAATTATAAAATTTTTTTTAGATCATTACTGAATATTGGTTCACCATATTTACTAATTTCCCTCAAGTTACTATTGGTTGGGATTATTTACATGTCACATATGTACATAGTCATTAGTGTTATGAGCAACATTACACTATGCTGGTTTCTTAGCAGTGACGTGTACTATGTTCATTCCGCATAATTTTATTTTTGTGAACATAAAGAAAATTTTAATGTGTGGCAATGCGCACATTAAATTTAATATTTTTGTTAATTGAAATATCAGGCGACGTGCGTTATATTGGATGTACGGGTAGTTGAAGTCCCTAACAAGACATGTATTTAAATTATACTATCCGATAAATGTAAACATACACTTAAAATTTAAGTTTGAATTTTACACTGTTTCTTAGACTACGTACGAAAAAAGCCGACCGTCACGTTACACCTGATCTTACTATCTGACTGGTCAAAATCGAAACTTAGAGGGGAAATTATCATGTATAACAAACAAATTTTGATTTATTTGCTACCAATCAGACTTTCGAAGATCATCTACATATATGCCAAATAAATAATTCGTTTCGAACGATAACTGAAAGAGAGTAAATGTAAACGAAATGATCAAAAAGAAAGCCATTTTTAGTTTATTGCTGCTATTAGCATGTTGCAATTATGTTATTTCTTATAGTCAAATATCAAGCGAAGGTCTGAAATTGCTAACTAATTTGACAGACACCGAACGTCTTAAGGTTACCGGGGAATTTTTGAAACCACTTTTGACAACTCGAGTTTCTGGCACAGAAGAAAACGTTAAAGTGCAAGAATTTATTATTTTAAACTTTAAAAACTTGGGATGGCATGTCGAAGAAGACAAGTTTACAGACCAAACACCATTAGGAGAAAAATCCTTCAACAATATCATTGTGACAAAGGATATTAATGCCAAAAGACGACTAGTCTTAGCAGCTCACTACGATTCGAAATATTTTCCACCACCTAACAATTTTGTTGGTGCTACCGATTCTGCCGTTCCGTGTGCGATATTAATAGATCTGGCACATCGGCTAAATCCATATTTTGATAATAGAAAAGATAAAGAATCGGTTGATCTCACACTTCAAATTATTTTTTTTGATGGTGAAGAAGCGTTTGTAAGCTGGACAAGTACCGACTCACTTTACGGATCTCGGTATGATTATATAATGTTAATTCAGAGTTGGTCAAATTGTTAAATGGTCAAAGGGTACTGGTCTGATCAAATTTGTCAAATAGTCTGGTCTATTTATTAAATAGTTTTGTTACACATATATGAAGTCTATATGATAATATGTACATAGACAATTTGGTAAATTTGAGCAATGCTAAACCTTGGATCAGACTGGTTAAATTGGACAAATTGGTCTGGTCAATATTGATCGTTGACTGATCCAACCCTGAATAATAATATAGTTAATAACCTTTAGAAAAATAATTAACGGTTATCAATTTCGTTCCTAATGCTAAATATTCCTGTTTTCAGACATTTGGCAGAAAAATGGGAGAATACATATATGACGACAAGCAATAATCCTGATAATAAAGCTAGAACCGTCCTTGATTCGATCGATGTATTAGTTTTACTTGATCTTCTAGGCGCGAAAGAACCGAATTTTGTAAATTTTTATCCAACCACTTCATGGATGTTTTCTGAACTTGCAAAAATTGAAGCTCGGCTATACAAGGCAAAAATATTTAACACCACCATTCCAGAAGACAAATTAGTTTACTTTTATTATTTTGATGCAGATTCTATAAAATCAGCTCACGGTCACATTGAAGATGATCATATACCATTCTTAGAAAGAGGCGTTGAAATTCTACATATTATTACATATCCATTTCCAAGAGTATGGCATACTGTCGATGTAAGTATTTTTCTTACAATTTGTAACGCACGTTTTTTATATAATTCGTTTGTTAATAATTATCGACTCAACAGGATAACATAAACGCCATTGACAATGAAGTAGTATATAATTTGAACACTATATTCAGAATTTTTGCTGCTGAATATTTAGGTATTGACCCATCTTTATCCACGACTAGAATTCATGATGAATTGATATAGTAGTAGGTTAATAATTATATTAATAACTATATTAACAATTATTCGAAACACAATCATAGAATAATTTAAATACCTTAGAGGTTAATTAAATTAATATATATTAAAAATTAAAATAAACTTACTATTCACTCCGTCTGTAGGGCACATCTCAGGAAGAAGTTCATTTGATTGGCTAATTGGTATGGATATACCCGTGATCATTAACCAATCAAATTACATAATTTTAAAAAATTCATACTATATACTAGAAACCAAAAAAACTTCGTATGAAGAAGTTTATAAATTAATAAATATACAAGAATTAATTTATTTCAAATATATATTAGATCGATACATATAAAGTGGTATTAATCATTAATAAACTCAAACACATTACAATCTATAAACCAAAAGCTTATTACGATTAACAGATCAAAACACAAATGCAAGAACCAAGTATTAAACTCGGAACTTCTTTTACAATAAACCTATTCTTGTTCAGATTCAATTGTTAGTAATAAAAGTTTTTTCAAATCTAACGTCTTGAACAAACCGTTTCGTTTTCAATATAATTTGAGATTGCCCAATAAACGGTCAGTATATTTTGTCTTCTAAGCTAAGTCCGTGGAGAAAAAGATCTTTTTTAGATCCTTTTGCATGGTGAATATTGGCACTATTCTAAAGCTATGAATGGTTTTTGCGACGATTTTTTGTTATTAACCGTTTGTGTTACCAAAAAGTACTTTAAAGTGTTTAAATAAGTTACCCGGGCAATTGATTTACATTAGCCAATCAGATGACTTCTTCCTATAAGCTACTGGGTACTTGCGATTGAAGAGGACCTAATATCTATTTTTGTTTTTCCCAGACGGTTGTTATTCATTGTTGGACGGTTCGAGTTAGATAATTTAGGTACGTATTATAGAGAAAGAAATAAGTCTTTCGAAGTAATAGCCAAAATTACTGACCAACAATATATATTCCTTAGTTTTATCTAAATTATTAAGGTATGCACTTTATATATAATTTTTACTCGAGAATTCTGTAATTTAATTTATTAAAGTAATTTGAACGCGAGATGATTATTCAAAAGAAATGTACTATCAAATTCTGAAATACAATGATTGATGACTAAATCTACTTGAAAAAATGATCGTGAAGTGTTTTTTTTTAAAAAAAAAATAAAAAAATAAAATAAAATAAAATTAATGATTCTTCTACTTTAGATTACTTCACTGCCTGATGAAATTCTCATCCTTGTTTATGCATATCTAAGGTTGTATTGTTTGATAATTATGATAATCGCCCATTCAATTATTCAATGTGTTATGATGTAATAATTTGCCATGCTAATTCGGAATTATTGAAATGAAGAATCATTTTCTAAATATCTGAACACGCACTTCTGGGCTGTGATTGGAATCCAATACGAACTTTTTATTCTAACATCTGTTTTTTTTAAAAAATATATTACTAGTGTTTCGAATATCCAGATTATGATTTGATACGAATGCAAGCTGTAAATTATTGATCAACCAACCGAGATTGAGAGAAATAAAATTTGTGTTGTATATATTTTATAACTGTTCATAAATTCTATATAATGGAGAAAATTGCTAACGAACGAGTCGATGAGTTCTGATATCGGCAAATGTTGGTAATTGTTAATGTAATGCCGACTCAGCTTATTGATTCAATCATTAAAAAATTTTTCAACTGCCCAAATTACGTATTACGGATCCATTCGCCTAAAATTATCGGATACAAATTACCTGATGTATCCGAATTAGTCGGATTACGTATCGAATCACGTAATAGTTATATATTGGCTGTTGGGTATAAACGAAAATTAAAATTCCGTTTATACACATAGTACCCAAAGTGATTTGACCAAGGTATAATATCGTAGGCAGACTTCCGTTAATTGGTCAATTTTTGTGGATTTATTCGTGATTTCTCGTAATAATAAACCAATTCAAATGCATAATTTTAAAAAAGGCGATTTATACAATTGTATTATATAAAATTGAAGACATATGGGGTTGAGTTAATAGAAATCAAGCAACTTTTTTCTAAGTAAATTTTTTAAAAAATTTTGAATAACAATAACTTAATAAACAACTTAATCAAATTTAATAATTTTTTAAAACTTTAAATGCTAATAATTTAATAAAAATTTTTTAAATAAATTTTATAAGTTTGCAGAATTTATTTAAAAAAAAAATTTTAATAAAATAATTTTTTTTTTTTTTTGTTTTTTTATAGTTAAAGTCACTATCTTGGGGATGCAACGTTTTTATTCAAGTATATTAGGACATGGCATGTCATTAGGGGCTTATCTTACATTGGAAGTTACAACTAGTCACACGTGCACTTTTGGTGCCTAATTTAAATCGTTTGCTTACACATTGTTATATAAGTTCTACACTAGTTGTCATACCTGCAAGTTGATTAGGAGTCTTGCTTATTTAAACCTTTTGCATATGCAGTTCTTCTTGTGTCATGAAAACATCTCAAGGTTACACCTATCCAAGTTTCTAATGCTTGTTGTTACCTTTAGAACTAGTTTATCTTCGACAGAAAACTTACTAGAGTTTTTATGTTCCATACATATAAACTTAGTTTTATGCAACATGTTATAGTTACCTAACACTTGCAGTTACAGGAGTTACTTGTTTAACTGCTACATTACATTATTTTTACTTTTGTAAAGTTTACTAAAACCTTAGTATCTATCTTTCTAACATCTTTTCTATTATTTCCTTCTAGTCACAACTCAGAATCGTTAGTTTTATTTCAGACTACCAATTCAGATGGTCTAGTATAATATACTTTGTATCCTTTTCTTTCAATAAATCCAATGGTCTGGTTGGTTATGTACTTCTCTTGTCATCTGGTTTTAACTTTTGGTTCTTATAAAGGTATTTTATGAGTTTCAACCAGTCTGATAGTATCATCAAAGTTCATACTACTTCTTTACTTAAGAATTTCTAAATGGGTTTTCATCATCTTGGTTCCTTAGTTTTCTATGCTCAATGGTCTTATCATGGATTTGCACTGAAGTCTTATACAATACTGATTATATATTCTTCTATATACATGTAACATTACACTTTGCATAGATGCTTGAATTCCCAATGTTGGTAGAACCTGATTTGATGTATCTGAGTAACAGTCATATAAGGCCAACTGATCAATAGGAAATAGTAATATAACACAAATATAATTTCCAAATTTCATCATAGATAGGATTTGAACCTTAGACCTGTTACTTAAAAAATAATAACTCAACCACTACATTAAGATTGCCATTACAGGTTGAATATATGAATAATAGTAAAATAATAAAATATACCTATATAGTCCTATTAGTTAGCTAATATGCATATCGGATAATATATCAGTAAACTAACAGTTATCTATATTATAGAAAGATTAAATGTAAATATCGACTATATAATAATATACCTTTAGTTACCTATTATTCTTCTGTTATATATAAAGGAATAAGGTAAAAAGAATAATAATAGTAAACTAATAGGTGTCAGCATCAAAGCAAGATATAAGTATACAAAAGGTATAA